GTGTCCCAGATGACCTCCGTGACCTCCAGTTGAGCTCTCTAATGACTCCAAGCTGACCTCTGTGACCTGAAGTGTCCCAGGTGACCTCCAATTGAGCTATCTGGTGACCTTTAGTTGACCTCTGTGACCTGACGTGTCCCATATGACCTGTGACCTCTAAGTGACCTCTCTGATGGCAACAGGCTGACCTCTGTGACCTGACGTGTCCCAGATGGCCCCAATGACCTTCAATTGAGCTCTGTGATGACCCCAAGTTGACCTCTGTGACTTGATGTGTCCCAGATGACCTCCGTGACCTCCAATTGAGCTCTGTGATGACCTTAGGTTGACCTCTGTGACCTGACGTGCCCCCAAGTTGCCCTCTGTGACCTGACGCGTCTCAGATTACCTCCGTGGTCTCCAATTGAGCTCTGTGATGACCCCAAGTTGACCTCTGTGACCTGACGTGTCCCAGATGACCTCCGTAACCTCCAATTGTGACCTATATCTACAAATTTCTTACCTCTCTGTGACCTCAAACTCTCAGAACTCATTTCTTCTAAAGCATCGATTCTAGATGCCCTATAGCCACGAATCTCCTGTGATCGATCCCAAATTTGATGGCAAATCACGTGAGCGTTAGCAACCACAAGTCACCCAATTAATACAAAGCTTCAGAATCAGAGAACATGCTTGACCTTGCTGTCTCATAAGCTCGCAAACCAGAAAAGGCGAATGTTCCTTTATGCGTGATAGAGTTTTCGACCTTACTGACGTTTACTACGGGATCAGCTGATCGTGTAGCCTTTTAAATTCTCGAGTAAAGCGGGTATTTAAGCCTCGTCGCAGCTACGTTCTGTCGTATCCTCCGACAAACCCCTCTTTCCTCAACATCCCTCCTTTTCCGCTACGACACAACTTGCGACGGCATATGTGTCGTAACTTGCGACGTGTCGTAGATGGACTTGCGACGCCCTGGATCCCCCCGGCCATTATCTTGTATTTTTGTCAACTATTTTCAGGATGTATTCAGTCAATATGTTTGTGTTTGTAAGAGCTTTTTATTTTAAATGGTGATATAGTATTGTTTTTACTGTGGTTTCAGTTCAGTCGGTGACACACCAGGGAAATAAGCTAAAATTAGAGCGCTCTATTTATTGCTTCCGCTACTTCACCGTCTCCCATAGGGTCCTGTGTTGAGCTGGTGTCGAGGCTCTAAAAATGACGCCGATTTTTGCACCCTTCTCACGAAAACCGCTCGGACCGCCTGGAAAGTAATTGTTCCGCTCTAAAAATTTCATGATCGACGGGAAAATGAACGAGGAAAAGATTGGTCCTGAAATAATTCTGAACTCCCTGTAGAACTTATCGAAATATGGCTGCAAACTAGGAGCATGTCAAAATCGACAAAACAATACAAATAAACTTACCGGGATTTTTTATTTTCCATGCATCTGTGTATAAAATCAGTCGCTTTTTCGGAAAGATCATCTTCTGTTTAATAAATAATTTCACAATTGCAATCGAGAAAAAAAACATTTCTGCTGTGACAGCAGTTTTGGCATTGTGCCAGTTGTGTGGCGTGCGCGGCGCTGCGTGGTCGTTGGGTCGGAGTTGTGAGTATTTTCGGTGTATTAAATGGTTGATGGCCATTTGAACCAGCTTTATATTATTTCCTACCAAATTTTGCATCAAATTATTGCTTTGAAAGACCATTGAAACCCCTTATCTCTTCATGAAACACGATCATATTCATCGTCGACGAAAATGGCGCGGGACTCGATGTGCGTTTCGTTCGAAATAAATCGTAAATTAAATAATATTCGATGATAAGTATCATATTCTAGTGACACATTTTCATAAAATAAGGCATAAACTTTGCAAGGAAGTCAACATTGGATAATTGGATGCTTGTTTTGCTCACATATCCTTGTATTAGTCAAATGGCTTAATTGTTAGATAAATGTAAATATATGTTTTGGCTTGATGTTTGCTGTGAAACCACCCAGCCACTTGCTGGTTGAGTGGTTTTCTGATAATTACCTGATAATCATTTCTCCTTTTCCTTAAAAGAAACTAAAATTCTTTTCAAAGTAACCCATTTTTAGGAAAGGCGGCCTGCTCATTGACATTTCATGTTCTTGTTTTGTTATTGCTGGCAGTATTTTGATACAATAATGCAATATGATTTTTTTGCAATAATAAAACCTAAGACAAACTTAGTTAATGCGTCAATCAAACACCCAACAGAAAGATTGTGAGTCCTTGTGACGTGAAGTAGAATATTCTATGAATGTGTTCTATAGAATATGCCAAATTTTAAATTAATTTATTATTTGATACTGATAGCTGAGCATGTGAATTATGCCACAATATAATTTCATTTTCTGGTTTGAAATAGCCGGCAGTGTTTTACTTCAACAAATGTAATATAGGTACATGGAATACATGTTATGTTATGTTAAAAGTTTAATAACAGCCAACAGAAGGGGCTGTTTTATCAGATAATGTTTGTACCTTATGCATTACCTTTCTTTTCTGCAGGACCATGCTTCCGCTGGGTGGTCGACATTTGCCTCCTGAAGAAGTTGAGCAACATGAAGACCACCAGATCCAGATGAGGTGTCTGCAGTTCATGTGGAACTCTGCAGACTACAAGTGGTATGCCAACCACAACCAAAGTGCTGTGATCATGGAGGCATGAACCTCATGACAACACTTCAGATTTGCAGTTTTACCAAAGTGTGATTCAAACCACCTGTGGCATCTCACTCAGTGCGTGAACAGTGTGATCATTGTGCAGTGTTCAGCTGCAACTAAGACATTTATTAGTGACTTGTTTTGCAATTAGCCACCAAAAGCATTTTTGGGCTGGCTGCTGTAATTTGTTGTGCACTGCGCAATAGTGGTAGTGTTTTGTCACTTGTCAAGTTGTCAGTTGTGCATATTGCATGTTTCTCTCCCCTCGGCCCTCATTATCAGTTAAGTGGTGAATTGGCATCACTCAGTCTCCCCAGATCTCCATTGACTGTCTGTCAACCACCTAACTTGAGATGGTATTTGCTAATAGTGTCAGAAAAGAAGTGTTTGTAGACATTTTTAGGAATATGAGCTCCGTTTCATGCGTGTTCCAGTGGTCATTTTGTCACATGTCCCATAGTGTAATAAATGGAAACTGTTGTTCCCTTTTGAAGGTACTCGCGGATGCAGAAAGCGTTGGGCCTAATTAATAAACGCACCCTCCTGTCAGCGACGCACGAAATCGACAAATATCATCCTTTTTAGAACAGGAGGAAACGAAAACTTGTGAACATAGCTGTACCTACAACAGTGCACAAGGAATTGAAAATCTGGGCGTTTTTGAAATTCGGAGGAACTCAAGTTGTCGACAGGTATGCCCCCTTGTACGTCAAAGACCGCCTAAAAAACAAACGTCTACAAAAGAAGGCAGTATTCGTATTTTCGTTGTAATTGCAGCAGCCTAGCAACATGCATTGCGGTCCGATGGCGAATTACACTCGTGCTCAAAAACTATGCCGGCAACTGCCAATGCGCTTAGGTCATAGGTGAGGAGAGGAAGGGTTATGTCAGATGTCAACATCATAGAAATGGCTTCATCTATTGAGCTGTGCCTATTGATTGTACATAATTCAACCAATCTATGCATTTCGTTTCTTGCAATCTACTCATGCTTTCACTCCAGCTTCAGAGTAATCATCCCATATTGTACGTCTTAAAGGGACCCTCCCACCTTAACATTAGATTTGAGTTGAGATAGCCAAAATGGGGTCCCTGGCTCACAATTACCGGTTTCGGCACTCACAACATCGAGAAATGCCTTAAATCGGAAATATTGAATTTCAAAATTGCAGCATTTTGATTCAGAGGGGCTAATGCTTAGGAATACCCCTCTGAATGTGTGACGTCAGCGCAGATATCTAACGATTTTTAAATGTTTGACTAAAACGTTTTGTAGCACGCGGTGGTATATGCTATTTGCGCGCAACATCTGCCGCAAACGCCGCACTTCTAAAATAAAGTCGCTAGAAACAGCGGAGATCCCAAAAAGTAAACAAAAGTAAAAGTCTAATATCTTGAAAACCGGTGAATATTTTTCGGTGAAATTTGGTAGATATTCGTTTTCGCTCTTTCTGAACCGAGCGACATCACTTTCATGCCAATTCATAAACTTTTTTGAAGGTGGGAGGGTCCCTTTAAGATATTGATTTCTATGACGGTTTGCAATTGCTAGCCACGACTTATCTCAGTTTGGTGGCCCCGCATCGGTCCACTCGGCCGCTCTAAAATTGACTTACGGAGGAGGATGGTGGCTTTTATTTTAGCTTCTCCGCTGACTGCGGGGAGCGCCGTCGCCGAGGTAGGAGCAATAATTAGCTTATGTTTGGGACTAATTTCCACGCTTAATTAACATTTTAATGTTATTTTAATTAATTCATGTTAATCTTTGACGCATTCTCTTTCTATTGATACCATCCACCGGTCTGAGAAGTACTGCCTTGCTGCGTAAGGGCCGATAAAAGATCACGCTTTTAGGGGTATCTCTTCAACATGGGGCAGGAGCAATAAATAGAGTGCTCTAATTTTAGCTTATTTCCCTGGTATGTCACCAACTGAGTTTAAAGTGTTCTTGAAGCTCACAACCTGTTATTTTCAGCTTTGTGCTAGAAAATGGCATCTAGCATTGAATCATACGTCGGCCATACAGTGTCAGTCATCACAGCCGATGGACGAAACATTGTTGGCACCCTGAAGGGCTACGACCAAACTATAAACATCATCCTGGATGAGAGTCATGAGAGGGTCTACAGCCAGAATGCTGGAGTTGAACAAGTCAGTAGCAGATCTGCAGTGTGATTTTATGTGTTTTTTTGCCAATTCACAAATGTAATGCCAGATGTGCATGATTCACTGAAGCATGTGTGTTGTGTAATGGTTCCATATACCTACTACTGCTCATTTCAGTCTCATTATTCATAGGTATACCCACCCATTTGTTTCAGGTGGTGCTTGGCTTGTACCTGATCCGTGGCGACAATGTGGTGGTCATTGGAGAAATTGATGAGGACCTTGACTCAAGGGTGGACTTCCAAAATGTCCATGCTGAACCTCTTATGTCCATTGTGAGAGGGTAGCTTGGATCAGTGAGACATTGAGACAGTGAGGATAAGTCATAAGCCTGCCATGATGAGTGATGGGGGGGACACAGCAGTGAGAGAGGACAAAAGTCACCAATCAACCACCAACAACCCTGAACCTAAAGTTGGTGAGAATGGTGACAACACTCCATGCACGTCAGCCCCGTCCGCTGTTGACTCGTTCAACTTCGACCCGGCGTCGCTGACCGCTCACGGCGACTCGCGTCCTACCAATGGCAACCATTTCATGGATATAGCGTTCGCCGCCGCGCGTGATGCCCTGACCCACCAAGAAGTACCCGTCGGATGCGTTTTCGTCCGCGGCGGATGCCTCCTCGCTACCGGTCGCAACACTGTGAACGAGACCAAGAACGCCACTCGTCACGCGGAGCTGAACTGCGCGGACCTCGTCTACGCCCGATGCGAGGAAGCCGGTCTCTCCCCGGACCCCCTCTGGGCGCAGATTGACGTGTTCGTAACAGTCGAACCATGCGTGATGTGCGCTGCTGCGCTAATCGAGCTTGGCGTGCGCTCGGTGACTTACGGAGCGGCCAACCAGCGTTTTGGTGGATGTGGTTCAGTGGTGAACGTGCCACAGATGATGCCGTCGTCTGTGACGTTCGTGCAGGACTCGGGGCGAGTGGACGAGGCGGTTGGTCTGTTGAAGGAGTTCTACAAGGGCGAGAACCCGAATGCGCCGCGACCGCAGGGCTGAACGGACTTTTCAGGAGGGAATAAGGGAAGGAAGAGTGGGTGGGAGGCGTGGGGATGGGATGAGGATGAAAGGGAGGGCAAGGATGGTGGGAAGTGTGAAGCGTGTTGGGTGAAATGTGGAAGAATTCACGTATCGAAGTTTGTGTCTGATGGGCACCGATACGCGTCATTCGTCGCTCGCGGCGTTTGGTTTTAGATGGTGTCAAACGGCGTGGTTCATGTCATCAGCGATTCGTCTCAATACATTCATCCAAGTCTTGTTTTGACGGCGTTTTGATCTCGCATATTACAACGCATACACCGGTGTGACAGTCGACAGATCACAAACTGGCTCTAGATCAATGCCGGTGTAAAGTGGTTGTATCTTATGTCCGTCATTCTAGCATCAGATTGGTATTCGACGAATGCCCCGTCAAAGCAGCAAATTTGGGGTCGGCGAATATCTGAATCTGCTGCCGATAGACAGTCCGCGAATCTGCTGCTAGAGCAGCATATTTGACCCGGGCGAATGTCTGACTGCCTGCAGTAGATTCGCGAATATCAATCTGCTGCTCGATTGACGACCTTTATATCTTTGCCGATCATCGTCTTCTGTGTAACGGCGCGGTCATTTTACGTGAGCAAGTAGTCGGTATTCGTTGTTTTTAAGAACAGGCCCATTCGTATTCCTATCACATGGAAGAATCGGACTGAACGCTCACCAAAGAGCCTCAAAGATGAAAGACAACTGACAAGTACTAAAATATATTACGATACACAGCAGCATGATGTTACACGACACAATACCGGGAAGGCCCTTTTTTATATGTCACGATAACCATGTCGATACAAGTACAAAAACATTCACAAAGTACACCATCGACACGCGATACCATTACACGCATACGATTACTATCGAAACTGAAGCACATTCCTTTTGCTCTATACCATTCAGAAGCGTGTAGACTTCGAGCTCATTTGCGTTCTTTAGCTCTCATTCACATACATGCCCAGGGAACACATCAATATTACCACCCGTTACAAACGATAAGAATACGTTATCTCAATGACGTCACAAGAGTATCATAATGACGTCATGAAAGGACTTTTCCTTTTGGCGCATGCAGCACACTTCAGCCGGACCATCCATTAGCCATCAGTTACAACGTGGGTGTGGGACGAGGGGAGATCAGGTGATATTAAACGCAACGCCAAAGTGAGCAGCCTTCGAAGAAGTTATTCGCTACCAAGTTTTCACAGGTTGTATAGCCAACTATTTAGTTTGAGACGAGGTGCATGCTTTAGCAGCACATATGTCATTCGCATCAATCCACTGGAGCCAACAGTACCGCTTTAACGCGACCAATCGTGAAATGCCACGTCCCGTCCAGCCACTGCCTACTCGACCAACTAAGTCACGTGACCTCACTAGCCGCTGTCCACCTGGTCACTCAGAAGTCACGTGACCGTTGGCGGGAGGTCACCACAGGAAGATGACCACGATGGCTATCATAAGAGCGATTATGACCACCCAGTACCCTGCGGGTGGAGAAAAAATATCAGAAAACTGAGCAGATTCAGACAGCAGCGATAAAAAAGCGTTATCTCATTGAGTAAAGAACGCTGGAACCTACGAAGATTGAGATGGCGGAATTTATTACCGTTGAGCTGTGAGCAACCGGTCTTAACTCACATTCCGGGGCCCCGTTTCACGGCATGCTGCTACAGCGAGCTACGCGTATCGGTGTATTGGGTTTCGATGGAAACATCAACAATCTCGGACGCTAACAATGCTCCAGCATCCGAGTTTATTGATATTTCCATGCAAAACCTAATACACCGATACGCGTAGCGCGCTGTAGCGTCTTGCCGTGAAACAGGGCCTGGTCATCTCATGAAAAATTGTACATGTCAGCTACCAGCATCATGATTGATAGAATGACTCATAACAGGTTTCCGAGATTCGTCCCAAAGTAATCTCCCTTGCCCCCCCCCCCCCCACTCTGCCGTGCAAAGGCAAAAACCATTATGTCGGGTCAGAGGCCATTTTCTCAGGTCAGAGGTCATCCAAACATAATGGGTTTTGCCTTTATATGGCAGCTGCAGCTGCACTCACAGCATGTGCCGGACTCTTTCCGGTCGACGCGGCGCACCTGGCGAGTCTGGTGTTCGATCCGTGCGGCTCCCCGCTCCGCCAGATCGGAGATGTCGTCAATCAGTGCTGAGGGGAGGGGTGGGCAGGCGAGTTAAAGACAGGGGGGTTACGCATGTGGGATAGGTGGGGAGTACGCGTGTGATTTTGAAACTCGACTGCTGGACGGCTGACACCTCATATTCTGAGACCTGACACGCTGGTACACGAAAGCTGACCTGACTTCCTGCCAATCGGCCACTAATCTCTGCTCAGTTCACTATCACCTGATTTTCGATCATTCACTGCTCCATCTTGCCACTACAAAATCGTAGACGCAATCGCAGACGCAATTGTTCGATTATAATATGGAGCTCGGTTGTAATGTCAATCGATCTACTATCGATCCATCATTACCTTACGGCAGAGGTCTGTGCTTACGGATTCCAGCTCACGATCCTGACGACCACCCATCTCTCCTCGATTACTCGACGATAGGCAGACATGTTCGGTCATTAAGCTAAAAACGCATTGATTGTACCACCCAACACTTAACCTCTGGCTGGATCCTTCACAGATCCACACTCGATCACTGATCAATGGACACACACTCATTCATGGTGTTACTAATAACCTCACCAAAAACAATCATTGATCACTCACCGCTCTGTTCCTCGATCTCCGCTCCGATGGCGCCGGCCATCTGCCTTTGTCGGGATATTACCGAGGCCAGCACGTCCAAACCCTCGTCCTGCTCTGTGGACAGACAGCGACACGTCACACAACCTTACACACTTACCTAATGGATAGGTACAGATAGGGGGTAATCAAGCCCTCCTGCACGGTCCAAAATGAATAGTTTGGTTATGCTATGCTGTGTAATTAGGTTGTTGGAATGTTTAGGCGATTTCCACCATTGCTTCCTTGCTCAGAAAGAATGTTAAACAACTTGAATAAATGACTTTGGTTACATGTAGATTGTAGCTATACAACAATGCATGACAAAGCCTAATTCATGCAAACATCAAAATGGTACTTTTATAGGATGCAAATCTGATAGCAGCATCCTTACCCTTACTGGATTTGCCAAGGATTTAGGATGCTTGCATACATGCTGGAGGCTCAAAGGGGAACATATGACAGAAAGAGTGACACAGAATATTGCATTCACTACACAGTAAGGCTGAAAACATACATATTTTTTCACACATCCTCACCTCTGATGAGTTGCCGTTGCTGCTGCCTCAGACCCTCTGTTGATGTAGGCTGCTCCGGGATGTCGTTTCCTCCCCAGTCAATGGTACCTAGGTCCTGGAGACCCCCAGGTACCCCAACACGGCCACCTGGCACCGCCATTCTGGGTTGTAGCTCCCAATATTATGTTGGTATGGACGTTAGGTCAGTGATTGCAGCAGGACAATGGCAGCTTCATCACATCCTGTAAAAAGAACAGATATATGAATTATTATTACCATCATGTTTGCATAAGTTATGCCAAATATAATTTTCTACCATTTATGTGGGAATTGTTATCTCATATTAGTGATGAACATTAATATGTTAATGTACTGAACAAAATCAATAGGTGGAAAGCAAAAGTCTTGATCAAATAATAGCAAATTGCTAAATGCTAAACAAATATACAATGCAGCTGTGGTTAAGGCAGGAACAGTTGGTGGGGCCATTTTTAGTTTTATGGTTCAAGAGCACCCGGATTAGATCCCTGGTGTCAGCTAGCCCCTGCGCTGAAGCCCTGGCCTGACATATGTACGGCATATGGATTTGACACCAAGAGCACTGGCCCACTGAGCGAAGCAGACTCAAGCAGGGACGTATGCCTTCACAACGCGGACAGCCGCAGCCTGTGAATTGGGAAGGAACCCACACAGTTACGCAGCAGTGGCTTATAGCCTTATTGGGGGAGGGTAAAAATGGATTTATTATATATACAATGCAATTAATTCTTGCATTGAAATTGAAAAAGAGCAAACCAAACTCCAAAATAAAATTCATGAAACAAAATCAAATAAAATGTGATCATGGATAATTTCCAGGACAAGTGACTTCAACTTCAAATAGAATATGTTAATAGCTGAGTCAGTGTAAAAAAGTTGACAATTGTAAAATGCAAAACAGTATAACCTAAAAATTAAATTGCAAAGAATTAAATGTTTTTAAAAGCAGCACTGAACTCTGTAATGAAAAGCAGTAAAAGACCCCAACTATGGCGCGTCCGTCACAAAACATATCTGGCTCGGTTAAAAAGCTGCTTAATCGAAAAGTCGCTCAAGTCGCCACTGCCATTTGACAAGCTGTATTCGACCCTATCAGCCTTTCGAAATATAACTAATGATCAATGATCATGCTGATGCGACCTCCAAAGACTTGACAGGTTAACGGAATTTTAGAATTCTGCTTAAATTACGCTAGTGTTTGTTGAAGTAGGGGCAGTAGGGGATAGCGAAGGGCTTGCAGTGGAATAGTCCTGTCCCCGAATCAACGGAACAATGCACTATGGTTGGAAACGGCCTCACGGATGGCCGTGGGCAATTTCGGAATATATGTATATTTGGGGTGTCATTCTGTTGGAAATTGATGAAATGTTTTGAATTGGGCAGCAAAGATTATTTAGTTGCGCATTTAGTCTCCATTATTGTACGTGGAATCGGGAGTTTCTGATAGTGACTTTTTTGGTGCGCCGTCAAAGGTTTAAACAACCGCGCTGTTGATAGCATGTGGAGTACCTCCTTGACGTTGTAAAACTGGATTATTATATATCAAAATAATCCTTGTTATGTTGGCTATTGAGTGGAGTGACTCTTTTTCCCATGCGTGTTCAAAATCAGGAACGGCATTGCATTCTGTTTGCAGTGTCACCACAGCAATATTTGCAAAGTTACGTTTATGTTTCATTGGACATACAAAAAGTTCTCCATCGACCTCCATTGAGCTTTTTGGCAGAATAAATCTCTGTTCAATTCTGCGTAAGGGGAACGTAAAAGCAGACTGCGCACTTGTGCGCAAAATCGTCCATGAAGCTTCATCTCCCGAGGCGTACCTACCCGTCGCTTCGTTAGCAGCAGGTCGGCTCGTCAGTCTTGCAATCGCTTATCCTTATAAATGATGGTAAGAAGCAGGGTTGCGGAGTCGTGGTGGCGCCAAATCCGACTCCGACTACGACTCCGACTCCTGACTCGTTGCCATGACTCCGGCCGACTCTGTCTCCGACTCCGGACCCCTGCCAGTGTTTCGGAGTCGTGATGGAGCTGTTCCGATTCGGACCGACTCCGACTTCCACTGCGGGCTCCTGACCGACCCCGACTCCGACTCCGACTCCTGGCTCGTTGCCACGACTCTGGGCGACTCTGACTCCGACTCCGACTCTGACTCCGACTCTGACTTCGACTCCGCACCCCTCGTAAGAAGTAACTGCTCACCCCTGCACCTGGAGTATGGATATCGTGCAAACGTGTATGGATATCCTGGAGTATGGATATGGATATCCACCGACAGAGCAGACATACAATGCTGTAAACGCCATTACACTGCCAATACCATGGCAAATCAAATGGCTATCTATGGTTTTTGATCATCGTTCTACATTTTCCAAAATCTTGAACTGAATGTTGGCAATTTCTCGTGACTACTTCACGACCATGATGCATGCATTTCTGAAATTGATCTTTTTTCAACCAGCCAGGTACTCGTATGATAAAATGAATGTCACCATCGTGTTCTACGCCCAAAAGTACCCATAAAACATGTGTCATGCATGGGCTGCGAATAGGTACCAGTTTTAATTCTCGGGGTTATGTGCTTACCTGATTGACCTGACTTTGACCCTGGCCAGTGGCCTATGTTTGACTGACCCCTACATTGATCTGACACTCTTTTAGCACTTATATGAAGGGTTGTGACAGTTGTGACAGTGTGACAGATTGTTTAGGACCAACTGATGACTTAATTTATTTAGGACCAACTGATGACGATATAATCGAAACGCGAAACGCGAGGCACCGATTGCGAGGTTCTAAAGTCCATGCTACTGAAAGCCCGATTTCAAGTGTTTGACCTGACTTTGACCCGACCTGTGACCTCGAAATTCAGCTTTAAAGTATTCATGTGAATCGTCTCGTCGCGTTCTTCTTTCGTTTGCCGCGCCTCGTGCGTTTCGCTGCGCCTATTTGTTCGCGAGTTATCGGCTGGGGGCGTTGAACGCCCCCCCCCCCCTGGCAAACGGCGGATGGGGAAATAACCCAGCAACTGCCGGGTTAATCTGACGCATGTTTTGTCATTTGATCGTCATTTTATTTCTTACTTTTTTGCCTAATCTAAAAAAATCATAACTACTCTTTCTCCAAATTTTTGACCCTTTATGACCAATAGTAAGACACTGTGCGTCACTACGTTGATATTTCTCGCCCTAAAGCATAACAACAATATCCATTCAGTAATAGCAGTATTCAAAACATGTTCAAAATGCCTCGCGATATCGATAACATAACGAAAGACATAGGCGACTTATAACATACTTGCAATGATGACGTCACACATGCGTGACGTGACGTGACCTCGTCATTTCTGAGTTACTGTATGATGCACGAAAGACACTGGTATACCTATGCAAAGTTTCATCGCAGTCGGTCTACGCATTAACAAGTTATGGGCAAAACATTTTTTCGCGTTGACCCCCGGCCATCCGTGAGGCCGTTTCCAACCATAGTGCAATGCTACGAAATTAGGATAACTGTTTTTAACATTTGTTTGAGCACATAAGGGGCCTCTTATACAAAAGGTATACGGTATATTTGCCACTTATTTCATGTTTCATAAATGATTCAACAGGCATCAACTACTTAACAGTTAAACTAACAGCAAACAATTAACATGTCACCATATTCTCAGGTCGGAAGGTGAGCATGGAGAACGATTTAGAGGCAGTGGTAGATTGGCACAAGCCGCAAGGCATGGACACATCAGGAATTGAGGAGGAGGCCCTACGGCTCCGGTTCGCCAAGCAAGTGAACGTCCTGACTCCACATACTCGCCAGCTGCCACCCCTGATCCCCGGCGCCACGGTGCGTCTCCAGAACCAGTCCGTCCGGCCCACACGGCAAACGATGGGGCCGCACCGGCGTGGTTGTGCAGACGATGCCGCATGACCAATATCTGGTCAAGGTGCACGTGTCCGGCCGCATCACCTTGCGCAACCGGCAGTAGCGGCACATACAAGCCCTGGCCCCTGCATCGCCCCCCACCTGCAGTGCCACGCCTCTCCCTGCTTCTAAGCTGAGCCCCCATCTCTGACCGCCGCACCTCATGAGGCACCGCCCACCGGCAACCCCTCCATGCACGCCCCAGGCACATCTCCGGAACTGCAGGCACTGCAAGAGGATCAAGGGGTGAGACGCTGTGCGATGCACTGGGCCGCGCCGACCGGTCCGCCAGGGCCCCTCGTCCCTGAGACCTGTGAGTCATCGACATCCACAGACGAGCATTCACCAAACGTCCCGCCCAGTCTTCCGTACGTGGGCGGGCCTGTAGAGTGTAGATTAGAACCCCCGAAGACCAACCGCCTCAGGCAGAGCGTGCGTCTCCTACCGTTCCTAAGCGTCCGAAGCGTGTGTGCGGGCCGCCGAGCAACCTCGTTAAATACGGGTGTTACCTGCCGCCTTGATACTTAGGTGAATTGCCGACCTGTTAGTGCACGACGGATCGACATTGTTCCAATTCCGCGCCCACCTTCGCACGCTGTGTGAGTGCTGGTTCACGTATGCCACGTGCATATATGTATTTGCACAATTGTTCCACTGCCGTCAGCGTTGAGTTTTAATGTTGAAAGCTGGGAGGGGGCATGGGGGGGGGTGTAGGGGGATACACATGTGTAACTCTTGTGTTCTGGCATCCTTGTGCTCTGATACTGTCCTGACACCCTTTCTCTTCTACACTGAGGCCCCATCATTCGTTACCAATAATAATACATAAGTGAAAAAACGAAGGTCTTTGGTCACACATTACAACAATCATCAGTCGCATCTCAAGTTGTGTAACGCTTTTGAAATGCTATCCAGTCTCCTGCACCAGAGAAGCTCTCGATAAATCACTGTATAGTGTATTGAAAGGCACAGCTCAACGATCATGGGACATCCTTTGGGGGCCTCACCCTTGAACTGCCCGTCCAATGAAGTTTAGTAGGTACAGCCCACCGCTAAAGTAATGTAGGGTTTTACCAATCTCAACGGTTGGCTTTGACTGGCGATTGTTTAATGCGGAGTGATCGAAAAGAAGATGTCAATAGCTAAAGTTGCAGCTGCAAGGGTGACGATACATATAAGCTACATTCAAAGTTTCATTGTAGTCTGGCTAATCGTTCCTAAGCTTCAGAAGCAGAACATACCCATGACTGAAACCCCACATTACTTCTGCTGTGGACTGTACCTAAGCGCCGAATAAAAGACGATATGAACGTCTCGGAAAGCATCCCTCTGTGGCGACCATTTCCAAGTGACATTCCGGTGCTTCTATGCGCGAGAGGGTTACCTTGCATAGACTAGGCCGTACCTCGGGTCCGCCCACCTGGCCCTGGCGACCTCTATCTTTGGGTTGCCTAGGGCTGTATGTCCTGAGCCCGTCACCTGGCGCCATCTATCCTAGGTTGCCTAGCAACGGCCGGCTGGCGGAAAGCCGGCCGAGGATATATAGGTAGCCCAATATACATAATACTGACATAGCGACTGACTTGGCGACTGACGAGCTAACGTCACGGTACCGGCTCTTCCCCCTCTTCCCACCCACCAACCACACCCGCTTCAGCGGCTTCAGCTTCAGCAATCTCTTGCCATGTACCTATAGGCCAGAGGCCTTCGTACGTGCTCAATCTTCCCGCTTCTGCCTGCCGAGTGCCGTGCTCCGGTTGGTATGCTGACGATAATGTCTAGCCATAGTTTATCCTTAGGAGAGGACATTTCCTCTTCAGCTTGTCCACGACACTTGGGGGCACTTTGAGCGTGCGTGTGAGGTCGAGAGCACGCAGCTCTTTCAGTCGCGGCAGGTAGCTCACCACAGCATCTTCGCTCACAGAGGTGCAGCCTGACATGTCGAGCGCGCTCAGGCGGGGGAACAGCTGCGGAAGGCGGCGCAGAGAGTTGTTTGTCAGCCCGGTGCCATGTGCGTTCAGGTAGGTGAGTTTCGGCAGACCGG